GCTGCTAACTCAGGAGTCACTTCAGCTTTCCACTCAGAAAGGGTATGGGTATGTTTTTAATTATGGGCAAGCCCATGGACATTGCAGTGAATACAGCAACTCTCCCCCTCGCAATTCCAGACACAAACACTCCCTTCCCCACGTTACTGCTGACTGGCCTGGGATTGGGTTTTATTGCAGACAAGAAAGCCAGTTCTTTGAGGGTGAGGTTAATTCAAGCAGCCCCATGTAGAGCCTTAGCCTGCAAATGGTTAAGTTCTTAACCATGCCTGCAAAAATTAGTCAAGTGCACAGCTACCTTTCTAAGTGTTTGTGGTTTGGAGGCTGTAGTCCCTTTTTCTCCCCTAGTTTCCCCAGTACTTTTCCCCGATGGGGGGGCAGAATGTGAAGCTGATGAATCTGACGATGACTTGTCCCATTTTCCTTTTAAATATAAACCAAACTCAAGCTGTCTAAAGATTGTGCTGTCTGTGTCTATGGAATTAATTGAAACATCAGGATTCTATTAATTGGAGAAAATGGCAGGTTTTTCTCAAAGTGGCGAACTCCACAATATCAAAATAACTGTTAAAACATTAAAATTAAAGTCTGTTCCTACTGCCTGATCAGCAAATAGACCCTAGGAAACCAGCATGCATGCTAGGAAACAAATCAGTGCATTAAATATGTATTATCCAAAAACTTCTGATCTTTCTTAGGTGGTGGTTTGGGAATACAAATTCTACTGCATTAAGCTGAAGAAGGGAATAGATATTTTTATTTAAAACGGAGTAACTCAAAGCGGCCATAGTAACGCGTTTGTGTTGCTTTTCTACTTGGGTAATGAATGACACTAGTATAAAGTGCTCCTAGTTTTTGCCTCAAGGTCTTGTCAATCATTACCTGATAAATAAAAACTTCAAACAGGCTTCTTCTAGCTTAATTGGGCAGATTTCTCTCCACAGGAGTGGCTGAACACAGGGAATAATGTGTTTGTGGCAGCAATGGAAGTCAGCGAGCAGGGTATTTGGATGGAAACAGAGAGGATGCAAATTCTGAGCTCAGAAGACGAGTCTCTTTGGCTTTACTTATCCAGAAAGCGTCTGTTGCCATTGCAGGCAGAGCTGGCAGGACTGAACGGAGCAGCAGAGGAAATCCCGCGGTCCCTGGCAAGGCTGCTGAGCTGCGCCTGTGTGAGCTCCGCTCTCCCTCGCTGCTTTTAGGCTTTACAGCTGACACTTCCATAAAAATCAGAAATCTTAAAATTGCACTAAGGCTTACTTAAACCATTATCTTTTATTATAGGAACGTTGGCAGCAAGGGAGGCAGTTTCCTGCGTAGGGACAAAAAGATCCTATTGTCAGTACTGGAACAGATCTAAAACAGCTCAATTAAGCAACCATAACATCCTCAAAGTTTGGCCTGGGAGGAAGTTAGAATAACTGATCTATAAAATGTTTTAAATGTGCTTTAAAATGTCATTACTCAGATAAATCTAGTTGTTTTGAAGCTGGTTCACTAGAGTTTTATAGCCCTGCCAGTTTATGGCAGCGTACGTATTCGTGTCAAGAATTCCTCTTCCAGAACAGTAGATGAGGAGACAAAGCCACAGTAGCGCTGCGGACCGAGGGGAGGCTGCAACCAGCTCGGGAACGGAGTTTTGGCTCCCAGGCTGGGAAAGCTGCTACAAAGCATATCCAGCAAGTTGTGTGTGTTTGTGGCAGAGCTGGAAACCAACCGATATTTCATGATATAAGGCTGGACGTGTTGAAGTTAGTGGTAAAGCTTCTGTTGGCTGCAAGACTGGCAGTGTGTAAAGCAGGATGATTTTTCTGGGTGGGCTTTTTTTTTTTTTGTGTTGGGGGGGTGTTTTGTGTGCGTTTTGTGGGGGTGTTTTTGTTGTGTGTGGTTTTTTTTTAATTTTTCCTGCCCTTGCTGGAACCACCTCGGACTTCCACTGGGTCTAAATGCAGAGAATTGGGACCATACAGAGAAATACCAGAAGGTCTTCCTTCTAAAATTAGTCTAAGCATACAAAACCTGAGTTTAGATCAATAAAGGTCTTTCCACTGATGCTGGACTTCACATTGATGCATGAAGCAAATTTACTTGCGAGTTTGTAATCGCTTGTGAAAGATGGTAGTTAACACAAAAACGCTGATGATTTAAGCCTCTGAATCAGCAAATACATCTGCATAAACTGGCGCAGCTCTGCTTACAGTTCAAAGTAAACAAGAACCCCAAAATTGCTGTTATGCCCTGAAGATACAATGTTTAGTTAATACAAAGATTTAGACCATTATTTTTTTCAGCTGCCTCCATAGCAATGCAGTGTGGTATCCACAGTAGGAAACCTCATGCCAGCAGCATCCCTGAAATATGCTAAAACAATCTAAATTAGAAAATGTCAGCTTCTTGGCTGATGTTCCTTTGGAGTTTCTTTTTTCCTTTCTTGTGCCTCTATAATTTTATTGGGATGACTAAATCTCTGAACTATGTTAGCAGTAAACAGAACTAATTTACCCCCTGCTTCTTTGAAACAGCTGCTGACAGCTGCACTATAATTCAATCATGGCTCTTTGCAGCGCAGTCTGCAAAACATATTCATAATTTTTTTGTATTCTTCCCAGTTGTATTTGGACTGAAGGAGTCGCACCAAATAGCGACATGTGCTGATTTTGCCCGTACGTAGAGATTGACCTACATGAAAACAAAGGCTCAAGATGAAATATTGCCCAGCCAAAAAGATTCTTTGAATATAGGGAGAATAACCACACGGATACACAATGTTGTTGGGATATCTTTTGTAAAGTTGCAATGATTTATTTTACTAGTTTGTACAAAAGGCTTCTGACAACTGCTCTATGAAAAGAACCAGAAATGTGTATGTATTTTTGCCAACTGTTAATAAATATCTTCTTAAATAAGGAAACAAATGTGTTTAGGAACCGAGAATCATTTTTCCTGGATGTGATTGAAAAGGAATTCAGCGATGGAAATAAATAATTCTTCTTCTGCTTGTGACAACTATTTACATAAAAATGTACAAACAGTGAAGCTAATGTTGAGCCTAGCAACAGAAGTCCTGTTGTTATGTTCTTTTAAAAAAACAAAAACAAAACAGAAACAATCCCCACGTAATATTTAATATATGAATTCTATACAGCAATATACTGTGGTCCAAGTTAAAAATGCAATACACCAATGCAGCGACCACCAACACTGAAACACCTGCAAGAAAAACTAATCCATGAATACTAAATAATGGAAGTTTAGGAACTTTCTAGGCAACACCTTAACTTCCTTTTGGAAGTTTACAGAAGCGCTGGTGTAGATACGTACACGGTGTCAAAAGATACTTCCAATCTGTGTGATTTCAGTACCTCTGAGATGCACTGAGGGCAGTCTGGACTTGGCTGTTTAGCGTAGATGGTCTTGCCTGCAGATTCCAGGGAGAGGTGGTCTTTTGGCTTTGGCTGTTGTCCTGTTGTCTGTAACTACTTGGTCAAAGTCTCACCTTGGGGCAGTTTAGGAAGTTTGCTGGAGTCACGCTGGTGGAGCGTGCGTGCCGCGGCCAGGCCGGTCCTGCGCATGTTTGAGTCGCCTGGGTTGGAAGCCGGGCGCATCTGGCAACGTGGCAACTGCTCACTGAGGCCCCGGTCCAAAACCTACCGATGTCATGAAGAGACTTCCACTTCCCCATGAGCCTAATCCTGCTACTGAGAAAACTGCTGGGAAAACACCAATTGGCTTACATGAGATTAGAATTAGACCATCAGAAACAAGTTTCCAATTTATTTCATAGACAGTAATTTTTTTTTCTTCCTTTGCTTATTCTTTTTAAAGTGAGGCATCTGGTCTGGATTTGATCTGTGACTTAAAGGAAGAAGAGCAGTGACCGATTTCCAGAATCGGGCGGTTGTGTTCATTTATCTTCTTTCTCTAACTCTCCTCTAAGGCAAGACGTGGAGCCAAGTTCCCACTGCGGCTGCGTTGCCCTGTCCACTCACTGCATGGAGAGAGCCATCGCCAGGGATTTATGATGTTCTGGACCCATCTCTTGGAGGTTCAGGTTTTTGAAGGTTGGAGATTTAGAGCTGGATGTGCTGAGGACCTGGTGCTTTATTGGACAGAATTTTCTTTTTTATCTCTCTGGCAAAATTTATGCCAGTCCTGCTTTTGTAACCGCAACGTATGCCAAAGTGTTGAATCGGTTTGTGATTGGTTACTGCTACTTAGTATTCTTATTCACAACAACTTTAATTGAGTTTTGATTACGTGTGATGTTTGTGTAACCTGTGACTTTAAAAGAAGAAAAAAGAAAAGCCTTGTGGGGACATCTTCTTGCTCCTGGTTCCAGCTTGTTGGTGTGGCTCTTGAAGGGGATTTATTTTTTTAAAAAGGTGTATCCAGTAATGGAGCAGGGCTTTTACCCTGAGCACAGACCCTGGGAAGGAAGGTTTCCTAGCTTGTTTCTGGCCAAGTCTGTGTGGTGCTGGGTGTACATCCCAGCTTACAGCACCTTCTGCGCTTGAGCCTCCACATTTTTGAAAAAGCATTGGAGCTTGTTCTGTCAGTGAAGTCAATGGACGTTTTCCAACAGGAGCAGGATCTTTAACGCACTTTCACAACTCCGCAACTGCTTAGGATACCCCAGCTAAATGTTAGGTTTAAACCCTGTTGCTTAACATTTTGCTGCTTTCCTGTTTTGAGTTCACAGCAAATTCAAATTCTTTCTGGTTGCTAGAGGAAATTTCTTTCCTTACTGACAAAAAAAAAGTATACCCAAAAAGTCTTGCTCTTTGGAATTTTTTCTTCGGTTCTTTTGCTTGCCAATTAGAAAATCCTTTTATCTTAGACCTATCTGTCCTTTGAAGTTGTGTCAATTCAGATATAGCTTTTGCTACTATAGTTTAAAACTAGAAGTTGCATGTAATTAATCTTTGCTTTTACTCATGAAACTGAAGCAGAGGGATGGAAATAATAATTCTCTAACAAAATACCTGTTCACTCCAGGTATATTTTGTTCACTTATTTTATTGCAAACTGTATTACAGGAACTACACATGCTTATTAGTCACAGCACATTCTCAACTTGGATAGATTATTATTTTTTAACTCACAATCAACACTGGTGAGTTTGCAATCTTCAGAAAGACTCATTTGCAAAAGTATGTATCGTAGGAGCCAATTTTGTAGGCAGATTTGGTTTTAAATGGTTTCTCTGGCTTGTTTCAGTTTACAAGCTCATTGTCTGTAATAAACTAAAACAAAATGCGTTCAAATGCCACTTAGATCCAGAAACTGTTCCATTGTCTGAACTTTCAGAAGCCCAGTCCTAAAAACTTTTTGGGATTTTTTTTTTTTTTTTTAAAACCCATTGCTGGAGTGCTAACCTCTTCCCCTCCCCCACATAGCCGTACAAAACCCACTCTTTACAAATGACTTTTTTTTTTCTTTCCTACCGATCTAATGACAGCCACATGCTCGTACCACCATGTTCCTGTATTTTTTTAAGATAACATTGGAGCTGTCATCAAAATAGAGCACTGAGATGGCATTGAGTTGTGTAGGAGCACAGCAGGGTTTCGGCACAGTCTCTGGGTTTATAAAGTGAACCTGGGGAATGAAAGTAGATGCATGTTAAGATTTACTTTTCCCCTTTCCTCCCCCATATTTTTCTTTCTTGGGCAACCTTCTGTCTGTCCCATACACTCATTCAGATATGTTTCAAACACCTGGCTTTGTGTACAAATGTCTTGAGATGTCCCCTGCATGTACGGAGGCTGACGCATGCACCCAAGTCAGATCTAGCTGGAAATCTTTCAGTGAAGCAGGTTTTCATTAGAAAATTCCCATTTGTCAGAGCAGCCAGCGTTCTGCAGAAGAGTACCAGTTGCAGGACGTGTGGGCGAGGTTTTGTGAGAAATCCTGTCAGCCCTGGGTGGGGGTCCCTGTCCCTGCGGCTGGCAGCACCAAGACCCAGCTGGGGCCAAGGGTTCAGGGTCCCCTGTGCTCCCTGCTGTGGGACCTCCGAGGAGAGGGAGGAAGGGCAAATAAAAAGCAATCTACCAGGAGAAAACGCGCAGATATTTCTTCCCTTGGAAACGTAGACACCTCTTGTTTCCCTAACACTTTTTGCAATGTTGTCTGTAGATGGGCACGGGATGTAGATGGAAAGGTGGAGCAAGCCTCCTCGTACCCTGCAAATGTGTGCGGGGGTCTGGGCTGTCAAGCTGGGTAGGGGAAGGGCGTCCAGGTAGGTCATCTTGGGGTGCTGCACAGCCGGGGTAGTTGGGACCAGCATGTCTGTCTTCTGGCCCATGCCAAGAGCTGTGGTGCATTGGCTCTGGTGACACAGCTGGGGCTGGGTGGCCCCCAGCCAATGGTCCCCCTGAGCAGAGGCGCTGTGTCGTGAGGACACGTCACCTCGGGGCTCCCATCTGGACATCTTTGCACAATTTCATAAAACAAATACACCCACAGAGCAGCTGCGCTGTGTGATTTTTGGGATTCTCTGACCCCTTCCTCTGTCTGTCCCCAAATGCACTTTTGGTGGCAGCATACAGTGGTTCCTTACAGAGTTTTTCCAAGAGACGCTGACAGCGGGTCTCGGTCTCGCGTGCTGCTCTTCCCTTCCCGTGCAGCAGGACTATACCACCATTAAGATGTCTATCATAGGGCCCTTTTAAACTAGAGAGAGCATGTCAATGCTTGCAGCAAAGACAGGGTAACTCCTAGCCAACTATTAATTCAGGCCACTTGGCTAGACATGTTGAGCGAGATGCTGCAGGCATCTTAATAAGCTAATGCAGACCTTCCTTCTCGTTAGCTTAGAGATTTTTTTGTGTATGATCTTATTTCTGCGTAGCGCCTATCGGGTATAGCTCTGTACTAGGAGCTACGGTGCACCTACCAGTGTCTGTACAATGGCATGATTTGTAGCATTCATGTATGAATTCAACGGGAAAGCACATTCTCCTTCACAGTAATATGCAGCGTAGCCCTCCGGAGCAATGATCCAGTCCTTGATTAAAGATGTTAGATTGCAGAGAAAGACAGAAGTATTGTGCAGTGAAACAGAGTCAAACAGCACATAGATCTATCAATTCATACATCCACATAAAATTACAGTGGCCTGCAAAACAAAAATCTAGTATGCTGGCCTTTCTAATGCTATCTTATACACCCCTAAAGCAGCTGCTTTTCCTGGAGGGACACATCCCACTTTGCAAACGTGCCCATAGAGTAGCTGAACTTCACGGTTTAGTTTATCCATTCAGCAGCGTCCTCCTGGCTGTCCACAAGGATCACTTCACCCATCACTGAAATGCAGGTACAAGCTTTCAGAAATTAAAATTTCTTTAGCCAGGTCTAAAAGAACTGATAGATGAAAAAGGAGAGCCGTATGTGCGTTCAGCACTGCCAGAGGAAATTCGGGGTTTCTCAAAAGGACCGCAGTGCGCTGAGTTTCTGGCCAGTCTCACACTAAACATTTGTATACCCTAGCTTTGCAGAAGCACTTCTTAAGCATGCTAAAGGCAATGTACTATTTTTCCCCCCGGGATAAAAAGATATCCAGTTATTGGCTTCATCTCACTATTGCGGCTCAGTAGGTGATGTGCAGAGGCACCACAGCTCACACCCCGGTCACACACAGCCCTTACCTGCCACCCCAGGTCCCTGAAGCTGACGTAGAGCTCGTGCTTCTTGCAGGCTTGTCGCTGGTCGCTGCTGCTGTTCTCTGCGTGGGGGGAATGGGTGGCTGTAAGGCTGGGCCGCCCCAGCACCCACTGCCCTCAGCGATGCCCCAACAGGGAGGGCGGCATCACTGTTCATTGGTAGCACTTGTGGCTTTTTTTTAACCTTTTCAGTTTTAGTCGTAAAATAATAGCTGGGTTCAATACATATAAAATGTCCCTCTGTTTGTTTTGTGCAAATTCAAAAAAATGCCTGGAAAAATAGCTTTTTTTTTTTCTTTTTTCTTTTTTTCTCCCCCCGCCCCCCCCCGGGCTTCCTCTGATCTTCTGTTAGCAAAAAGCAGATCTCTGATTATTGCCTACTATATAAAAGGAGAACCTGTGAAAGGATTGATAGGGAAAAGGCACCCTTTACCTATTTCTAGATTCCTGTCTTTGAATCTCCTGTATTACTGGTGATAGTTGCACCTTCAGGCCTACAAAAGCAACATATGACACCAAGATAATGTGGAATCTGTTCTTCTGTCCAGTGCAGCTGGATCCAGGTTACAGACTTCTCGCAGTGGGTGACAATGCTGAAGCCAAAGAATAAACCATGGGTCTGAATCGTGGACCTGAACACCATGGCTATCAGTTTTAAAGTTGTCTCCATCCTGGACACATAGCCTGAGCTGGAGACCCAAGTAGAAGTACAAGTTTTTTCAACTCCTCTTGTTGGTAACTAGCTCAACATGGGGTCCCCAAGCTGGAAGCAGGACACTGGTTACAGGGACTTCTCTAACCTACTTGCAGAAGTAAGAAATTCTTTTGTCCACTACCTATCCTTTAAAAATTGAATTGCTACAGCAAATACATGATAAAAAAGGCACACTTCAATGCAGACCATCTATGCTTGGGCAACTGTGAAACTCAGAGGGCAGAAATACAAGCCATAGAAAACCACTTTAAGAGGCTTTAGGATTTTGGCGAGAGGTACCAAAATACATACATGTAGGCAGGTCAGAGAAGCCACACCTGTCACCAGGGCTGTACAAAGGCATCATTAGTTCTAGGACAGGAATGAACCGATTAAATATCAGGAAGCTGCAACAAGACTGACAGGGGAAGAGTTCTCCTATAGCCTTGCAGGTAACCAAGCAACCCAAGGTGGAGGTGAATCGTGTGAGGTGATGTTGTGCCCCATGTCGTCCTTTTCCTTCCGCCTCTTGCAACCTCTGCTTCCATTCAGTGAAGTACTCGCAGAAATAGAGCTGGAATTTGCCGCTGGCCCTGCGCTGCGGTTCCTGCTGGGCAGGTCACCAAGGGCCCGTTATTCTGAGGTACCTCGTAATTAAGCCACGTTTCTATTTCAAATGCCTGATGGAGTTTTCTTCCATATTAGGAAGCACGGCTCCCCAAAATAGCTGCGGTTGTCCTGAGCAATGAATGGGTTTTCCTCTTGTGTGTGAAACTTTTGGGACTAATAAACTTTTTGAGGGCTAAACTTAAAATTACAAACTCTGAAGATCTACAGCATTTTGATTCAGATCTGCTGAAATGTATTATTGTTTTGATCACTTACTGCTTTAATATAATTATCTTACATTTCAAAATGAGAATTTCTTTCATGTGGGAGAAAAGGAGATTTTCTGGTTAGGTGCCTTTTTGTTTTTTTTTTAAATTGGATTAATAAATCCCTCAGTTTAACATTGTTTCAAAGAAACATTATTTTTCTAAGTTTTTTGGCATAATCCCTAATCCCAAGTAGTTTCAAACCAGCAGCTGAACACTAGTGGTAGACCAAAGAGACAACAAACAGACTGAATGTGGGAGAAACCCTTCCCACACTATCCGAAACCCAGAAAAACTGACCCAGCGACCCGCACTGTACCTGCGATGTTCGACACCCGGAAAGCTTCCTGGTTCTTTGGCGTTTTTGATCGATTCTGGCTCCTTTGCTTCCCTCCCGTGGAGCGAATACTGCGGAGATGGACCTCGGTAGCTTTGAAGAAGGCTACCGTGAATGGCTGCTTGTTCTGTGGGCCATGCCTTCCAATAAGACCCGCCAGTTTGGGATTGATGCTTTGCCCTTAAAAACAGAATGGACTGATAAGAGGGCCTGCAGTAACTTTTCGTCTCCAGCAGACACAGTAAGGATGACAAGAAGGAGAGCTGGCTGGTGGGGTGATTCCTAGGCATGTCTGTCGATCCACCAAGGACCTGGACTTAATCGGCAAAGCCGCTTCTGACAAGAGCGGCTCAGCACAGCTAACTTCATTTTATATCTGCATGTAAAAGTTACATAAAATAGTCCTACATCTAATTATTTTAGCCTAAATCCGCTTAGCATTAACTTTTCCTGCATTCTTTAGAGGGGTTTCTTCAAGTTCACCAACCTATAATTTGAAGTGATCCTATAAAAGGAACCATAAAACTTAGCCCATAGGAACACTAAATTCCCACTGGAAAGTTATTAACTTAAAATAAAAATGCCTTGTATGAAATGTTGACAGAGTTCCAGATATACTGTAGCTGAGAGAAACAAATAGTTCAGCTATTTAGAGACATTTTGCTTACTGCTATGTCTCGGCGCTACTGTACCCGATAACCTTGTTCTAAAACTGTTGATTACTGTTCATGCTTCCTTCTTCCCGGGCTTTTAAAACAATTGTAATTTTGGTAAAAGGTGATGAGGTGGCTTCTCTGTAGAATGGAATCAATCATTTACAAAAGACGCAAGGAGCGGGTGGCAGCACGAAATTTAACATTTCTCCCTGTTGCCTCTAAAGGGTGCCTGGGTGCTGTTGCAAAATGGAGGGGTGATACCCAGAATTATTCTGTTCCAAGCTACCGAGTACTGCTGCTAGGTCAAAGTTATGTTAATGGCTTTTGTGATCGTTTTGCTAAGGACAGAGCTGGGCCTTGTCAGCCACATATCAAATATGGCAAACGTGACACTTTCTTAGGGAAAGGCAGCTTGCCTGGGGAGGGCAGGCGAGGGGCTCTAGGCCGCTGACAAAAATTTCCTTATCTTCGTAGTTTCTGACTACCCTGTGAAAAGAAACTGGTTGAAGTATTTCTAGGTAATATTCCATAACTGCTGTTTTTCAGACGAGTAAAGGAAATGCTTATAAATTACTGATTTTTATGGAACTGTTTCCATCCTTGCTCTTGCACGTGGCCAAGGTAGCGGTAAACGCGGCAGACCCAGCAAAGGGGGCTGCGGTCAGAGCTCGAGGCCAAGCGCTGGCCTGGCCCCGGCTGGCGCCCGTGCTGTTTTCCAGCGGCGTGCAGCCCAGCGGGCCCGTCCCGAGCTGCAGTACTGGGGCGTG